TGGCAAGCATGTCTCCTGTGGAAGAAGTGATAACTGCTAAACTGCTAGGACTGCCTACAGATGACAGCGCATCTTGTCACCCACCTGTGACTCCCCGTACACGTGGGAGGAGAGCCCTGATGCGGACAACTGACCCTTGACTGGCTCCACCCTCAGGCCACCTACAGCACCAGCCTGTACAGGAGGAACGGCAAGAGACTCCAGCAGTTTTCTTCTAAGTGGTCTGAGGCTCTGGCATCATGCCCTGGGCATGTGAATAAATGAATGTTTTCCTACTGAGCTGCGCCTGCAGTCCAGTGATGAGAAACTGTATTAACCTTCTCACTACTCAGTTCCACAGGAAATACTTCAACCAAAAGACTGCAGGTAATTAAGATATCCTGGCCACAGACACACAAATTCCAACATCAAAGCAAGAACTACGATTATGACAGCCTCAAAAGACAAGAATCTATAACAATACACTAATAACAGTGAAGTGGATAAATCCCAACATTTCAGAAGAATGGTTACAAGAACGATCCACAGAATTAGAGCAACTCACAACTTAGTGATTCTGGATGATAAAAGGAAGGCAATGAGACATATGAAAAAGGAATTGTATGAAGATGTAGGAAACCCTGAAAAGAAAATTGAAATTCTGGATGTGAAAAACTTAAGTAAAAATTTTGAAAAGCTAAAAGACTGGATCACATAGAAATGAGACTATCAGAGATTGAAGACAATATACATGAATTAGAACATTCAAAGAACGATAAGGGGAAAAAGGAAGTACAAGACCTCTGGAACACTATTAAAAGACCAAACCTATGAATCATGGACATTGAAAAAGGAGAAAATACGCAAGACAAAGAAACAGAAACTTACTATGTAAAATAACAGGAGGCCTTTGTAACACCAAACAACACCAGAAGAGAACTTCGTATAGTTAAAATACTAAGTACAATGGGGGCATGGGGAGGAGGAAATGGGAGGGCAGGAATGATAAGGGGAAACAAAGGAGGAGGCAACAATGCTTGATAAGAAATGTACTCACTACCTTGCCATGTAATTGTAACTCCTCTGTATGGTATTCTCACAATAAAAAACATTAATAATTTTAAAAATACTGTACACAGAACAATGAAAGAATATTGAACACTGAAGGAGAGAAGCACCAGACCAATATAAACAAACCTGTAACAGCAGAGTTCTCAACTAACTATAAAAGCAAGGAAGGCACAGGATAATAGATTTTAAGCCCTAAAAAGAACTGCCAGATTAGTGTACCCAGCAAAGGCATTCTTAAAAATGAGAAGAAATGAAAACATTTCTGATTAACACTAAAGGAATTAATGCTTACTAGGCTGACACCATAAAGACACCTAATAGAATCCTACAAAGAAAAGAGGAGGTAAGCGCCAATGAAAGGACAGGAAAAAATAACTTTACTAGATGAATAGATAAGCAAGTGAGGATTTTAAAAAATCAAACATTAAAAACAACACAAATTACATATCTTTCAACAATAACCCTCAATATAGTCTCAATTATCCAATCAAAAGACAGTAGTAAGTTGGATTAAAAACTAAGACCCAACCATTTGTTACCTACAAGAAACACATTTCACTGGCACAGAATAAAGGAGTTTAACTGAAAGGATAGAAAAGACCTGGGCACCAGCGGCTCATACCTGGGATCCTAGCCACTCGAAGGCTTGAGAACTGAGCACCAGCGACTCATACCTGGGATCCTAGCCACTCGAAGGCTTGAGACCTGGGCACCAGCGGCTCATACCTGGGATCCTAGCCACTCGAAGGCTTGAGACCTGGGCACCAGCGGCTCATACCTGGGATCCTAGCCACTCGAAGGCTTGAGAACTGGGCACCAGCGGCTCATACCTGGGATCCTAGCCACTCGAAGGCTTGAGAACTGGGCACCAGTGGCTCATACCTGGGATCCTAGCCACTCGAAGGCTTGAGAACTGGGCACCAGCGGCTCATACCTGGGATCCTAGCCACTCGAAGGCTTGAGAACTGGGCACCAGTGGCTCATACCTGGGATCCTAGCCACTCGAAGGCTTGAGAACTGAGGATTGCTCATTGCTCATGCCCAGTCTTGGCATGAAAGTCTATGAACCTCTTATTTCCAATAAACTACTTAGAAAAAGTCAGTAGCAGTGCTGTGGCTTGAGTGCTAGCCTTGAACACAAAGAAGCTCAGGGACAGCACTCAGACCTTCAAACCCAAGGATGGAAAAGTCACTCCAAGTAAATGAAGCCTGAGTGCACCCAGGAATAGCTATACTCTTTTCTGACCAGATCTGAAGTCAAAATGAGAAGACACAAGGTCTCTATAATCAAAAAATTATTATAAACATATATACCCAATACCAACAGAATTTTATAAAATAGGCAATAGTGGATGTAAAAACACGAATAGTATGTGATTTCAGCGCTCCAGCCTTACTGCTAGATAGATCATACAGGCCAAATATCAAAAAGAGACGTCAGAATCAAATGACATGTAGATCAAATGAACTTAAAAGATCTATAGACTATTCCCCCAACAGCCACAGAACACTCATTCTCAGCAGCTCATGCAACTTTCTCCAAAATAGGTCATATTTTAGGACATGAAGCAAAAAAAAACCCAAAAACAAAAACAAAAAAGTGAAACAATTCTATGTGTTATCAGACAAAATGAAATAAAATTTTTTAAAATCAACATCAAGAAAAGCTACAGAGGAATATACAAATATATGGAGACTGAAAAATACCCGCTTTTGAACAGTGAGAGATCAGAAAATTGCTAGAATCAAATGAAAACAGGAACACGACAAAGCTTCAGTGACACAGCAAATACAGAGCTGAGATTAAAGCATGAGTTCCAAACACATGGACCAATGATTCACCTCAAGCTCTTAGAAGAATAAGAACAAGCTAAATTCAAATCACTAGACTGGTTTGTTGAGCCTAGGTGGCCGCCTGGGAACCAAACCATGGCAGACCTCAAAGCACATCCAGTTACACCTCCTTGTAGCCACCCCTGGTGGCTCCTCGCGGAGGCCCTGAGGATCACGACGAGAGGTCTGGTGATGAACAAGACATCGGGGGTCTTTTAGCAGGAGCAGGTGGAAGAGGACTATCACATGGCTGGTTGGGGTAGGGCCGGCCCAGGGACAGCAGGCTGCTGTACCCTTAAAGGAGACGCCATGATTTGGCTGATATGGGAGAAGGCAAGAGAGGCTCAGATATGGAGGCCGATTCCAGGGAACAATCGGAAGGGTTTGGACACTGGGGTGGGAGCTGAGAAATAGAGCTGCCTAGGACCTTGTGAGTGTCATTCAGGAGGGGGAAATCTACATAAGGGTGGGCTGTACAGAGGAAGCTGGGGTATTCAGGGCTGGGGCTCCTGTTTTATACTGTGAGACCCAGGAACTCTAGCCTAGAGACAAGTAAATATTTGGGAGTCCTAAGCATAAAACTGTTCTCAAGTACCCCTGCCACATTCACCCTCATTCCCCGGTTCCCATAGCAAGATTTCCCTGTTGTTTGTCCTGTCCATGTCACAATTCCTTGTTTTAATTATTGCTATATCTACAGAACTAGCAAGAACTTTCAAAAGACTGAGTACAAAGGCAGTGGATCCCTGAAGAGGCTTTCTTCAGCTGCCCGTGAGTAATGGAGCCCAGACTTGAGCTCCAGTCCTCTTAGTCCAGCTTCTTTCTGGAGCTAACCTATTGTATACTGGCTACTATGTATGCTAGTTCATTTTTTCATTAACAAAATGCACGAGGCAGGCTCATCTGTAAAGAGAAGAGGTTATTTTGCTCCTGATTCTGGAGGCTCGTAGTCAAGGTGGTAGCCTTGCTGGTACTGCCCCGAGGTGCTGCAGAGCAGCACGTGGTAGTCGACAGCTGGTGGGTGGCCCCAGCAGCACCTCCTCTTTGGATACCATCCACCAGAACTGAGTCACATGCACCCCAACAACTACATCTGATCCTAGCCACCTCTCAAAGGTGTCCACCTTCTCAGGACTTCTCTACCTTCTCAAGAATTTGACTTAGGGGTTAAACAGCTCCATGAGTCTGGGTACAATAGCACTAAATACAATGCCTGGGTCGGCCCTCCCTGCAAAGCACCTGCCCCCGAGAGGTCCACTGAGATCCAAGAAAACAGCCTCATCCAAAATCTTATCAAATAAGCTTCATTGATTGCATACCCACATCTTACCCAACCTGTAAGTATCACACTCATTATTTTCACTCTTCACCTCATCTCTGCCTAAAGAATATACTAGAATACATGATTTACAGAGGAAGAAACTGCCGTCAAGGGGAGGGGGAAGGGAATGACTTGCTCAAAAGTGGTAGAGGCAGGAGCTACCTTGATCTTCTCTAAAGATACAGGCATTCTCAACACACTGTGGTGGTCTGTGTGTATGTGTGCACATGCATGCACATGTGTTTGTGCATGGATGTGTGTGTGTGCGATGGGTTTATAAAAGACAGTAGGTAATCTTCCCCAACAAAGGGAGCTATTCTTAGGTTCCAGTCCCAGGTTTTGTACAGCTCAGCCACCTCCCATTGTTCCAGGCTCTTCAATCAGCCTATAGCTGACAATTTTGAGCTATATTTTTGAAATCTCGTGTACAATTGACTTCAACTGTGCATAACTGTAGCGAGACTTTATAAAGTAGGAAATCACCAGGAAGGTCACCAACATGAGTACAGAAGGACTGAGACCTGCAAGGCCGGCACCACCAACCACTTTACAGTTGTGCAATTAAATTGCATCTTACCAAGGATTCTCATCACCATTTTGTTGCTAGAAAAAAAACAAAACAAAAAAATGAGGCTTCAGAAAGGTCAGGTGACTTGCTTAGTGCGAGCACAGCTGTTCTGGTACCTGGTGACAGAAGAACCTCTCAGACATCACAACAGGAAGAGAAAACACAGAAGTAATGAACCACAAATGACGTCCACAGAGAGAGAGGGCGAGTTCCTTTATGAAGAGCTATGTGCAATATACATTTATTTTTAAAGTTCCCTTTGTAAAAACCATGTGTAACACACATGTCACACACAGACCTGTGTCACAGAGCAGGGCACTGGGGCATGGTGGGGGCTGGGTCTCCTCAGATCCTTGGTGACGTGGGACACACCCCCATGTGACACAGAGAAGAGCGGCTTCCAGGAATTCATGAGGCCAGAGGTAACGGCGTCCTTGGGAATGCGTATGTGTGGGCCCCTGTGTCTTCAAGTGCAATTCATAGATTCCAAGCAGTTTCAGCATTCACATCCACACACACACGCACGCACGCATACACGCACGCACGCACACACAGGTACTCAGGAGAACATACATATCTTTATCACTTTAAACCCCTCCAGGATGCTCCAAGGCCCTGCTGGCCTTTTTGCTGTTCAAGAAGTTCTTCTTCCTCCTGGTGGGAATGTGCAACGAGAAGTCCGGTTCCTTGGGGTTTCTGAAGAGGAAGAGCTTTTCACCGGTGTTTAATACATCGATGGTTTCGGCCCCCGTGATGGGGATGGGCGCGGGCTCCCCAAGGGGCTCCAGGGGAAGGTGTGGCCAGCTTCCTTTCCCAGAGAACGCCGCCCTCTCTCTGATGGGGAGACACGTCTTCTTCAGTATGCTAAAGACAAGAACAGGAGGTCAAGTTCCACACGGTGGGCTTATCCTCACCTGCCGTGTCCTGACAGTGAGCCCTTGCTGGCCAGGGCCCATTAGAGGTTGCGTTTCCCCAGCCTGTGGTGGCCAAGCAGCTAGTGTGAGGTCAGCCGTGCCGGGGGCCTGGGCAAAGCTACGCCAGGGTCGCAGAGCTTCCGCCCCTCACTGGGAAGAGCTTTTTTTTTTTTTTTTTTAAGCATTTGCCAATCTATGACAGTTTCACCCTCACCAGAGCCTCGCAAAACCTGCCGTGGAAGTTAGCTAAATGTGTTTGCCATGACAGGTGCGGCAGGCTTTGGGGATGTACTGGAACAAGACAGCTGGAATCCCGCCCCTCAGCTGTCCTTGCCTGCCTGGCTGGATGGACCCAGCGGTGGATGCCATCACTGTCTGAGAGCCCTGCGCAACTGAAAGCCGCGTGTTCTCTCGGCCCGCGCAGTGTAGGACAAGGCTTTGGCCCTAGCGTCCTTCTGGAGGCCCCGGCTCACAGTCGGAAACAGCTTCACAGCCACCACCACAAAGTCCTGCCTTAGAGCTTGTATGAGCCTGGAAGAGGATGCGGTGCTGTGTGGCACTCCCCGCCCGACAGCCACGGTCTCCAGGCAGCTGCAGTGAGCCCGGTGCCCCTCCACAGAGGTCAACATTCCCTCCACATCCATCAGTGCGGCCCAGGCATGTTCTGGGCTTTACCGTTGCACAGCTCCAGTTCAAGTTCCTTTATTTGGGTTTGAATTGGTTGCTTTTGTTCAACAGCCTGGCCTGACTTCTTTGGAGCTGTGTTCTGACATCTGGAACTGGATATGGGGTTGTGCACTGCTGTCAGAGGCTGAGAGCGCTTAATCACGGCCAGTCCATGCAACAACCTCAGTTCCTTGGTGTTAGCACCGAGGAATGACCAAAGGGGCAGGGCTCATGGTCCTTGGACAGCCACTGTTTCCAAAATATGTGGCCCATATCAGTTTACCTGATGATGGTTTCTTCACCCCCTAAATCTACTCTGCTAGAGATAATTGGTCAATGGTTTGCAGCAAGTTAAGATCATTGTGACCCTCACTTCCCGCTGGCCTCGGGGTGAGCAAAGATCACAGCCCAAAGAGGCCTGCATCCGAGGGAAATGGGTGGGAAGAGACAAGCCTGGGGGTTCAAGGCAGCCAAGGGGAACTTGGATGGTCCTAGTCTCAGGACCACCATTTCCAGCTACACTTGTGCACTTGGAATGTGGCCTCCCCAAGCTTTTGTTTTCTGTCCCCATCTTCTGGAAAGTTCCATGCAGCAAGAAGTAAAAGGACTTTGGGAACTATCTAGTCAAACAGCCGTAGGGTATTATTCTTTTTGGTAATTATATCCCATTAAAACCCAGCTATTAGCCAAAATAAATACAGTCATTAAAATGCTAATATGTTAACGGAGCATTCACCTCCTGATAGCTATTTACCTTTACCTTTAAGCCCAAGAAGAAAGGTCCGTGGTCTTCAGGGAAGGGCCATCTACTCCTCTTCATGGTCCCTTCCCCCCCCCCCCACTCCAGGCAGCAAGCACCTGGTCCCAGCCCCGTTCCGTACCTCTCCTTTCTCTGGCGGGACCACAGCATCCTTCCCAGGCCTCTGCTCACCAGATCTGCGCGCAGCTTGCGTTCTAAATCCTGCCACCACTCCTGGTGCTTCCTGACAGCAAGAAGAAAGTCTTGTGATTTAAACATGAATAGGCTCTTCCAGTCACTAGGCATCCTAAGACCCTCTACAGGCCAGTCCCTCAGGTGACAAGTGGCTGCCACCAGGAGCCTGGAGGGTGTCACCATGGAGTATCTCCCTGTCCTGCTCGGCAGGGAGTCCTGCTCTCTGCCCTTGTTCCCAGTTCGGGGACCACCGGAAGTGACGTGTGATCATCAGAATACTATCTGCAGCCGGGAGCCAGCAGCTCATGCCTATAATCCTAGGAACCTAGGAGGCAGAGATCTGAGGGGTTACGGTTCAAAGCCAGCTGGGGCACACAGATTTGAGAGTCTCTTATTTCCAACTAATGAGCCAAAAGCCAGAAGCAAAGGCAAGGCCAAGTGGTAGAGCCCCATAAGGAAGAGTTCAAGCCCACGTGCCAGCACACATAAAAACTACACAAGCTACGATGTGTACCAGTGAGAGGAAGAAGCGTGATCCTCAAACTGACATGTACAGCAGGAAAGGTAGTCCAAGGGGACAAGAATGGCCCTGGAAGATGGCGAGTTCTCTCATTGCAGATGTCTCTCTACTACATGCTCTCACACACACACACACACACACACACACACCAGATGCACACGCACAACACCATACACACAGACACACCACACTCACATATATACCAGCCTCACTAACACCACACACAAAGGCAGCCACAAACCCAGCAGAAAAACACAGTGCAGAGGAACCAAAGGCTAGCCACACCATGGGTGGGTTTGGAACTCCTTTTCCCTTCATGCTGTTTAAACATTTTCCCCAGTGGACATGCTGAACATGTAAGGTCCCAGTGAAGCTTTTCTTCCTAAGATCCTAGTTGAAAAATAAACTGGTCACAAAATCAGAGTCTAAAAACAAAAACTGGGCCTTCCAGTCCTGCTTCGTGGGGCCAGCGGAGTGGGATGTGGGACCTGACGACCTGTCGGGGGGCCCTGGGGTCCCCACAGCAGCTCTGCAGGGGCGGCTCCATGACACAGCACTCACCTCCTGCCCGGACTGGCCTCGTTCTCCACGGCACACAGAACTCACCTCCTCCTGCCCAGATCGGCCTCGTTCTCCACAGTGTGGTCCGAGTGACTCTCACTGGCTGAGTCCAACAGGCCCAGCAGCTGCGGCTGGGAGGCGGTGGGCAGCACCAGGCTGAGGAGCCGGCACAGCGTGGCCCCAGGCACCATGGTCATCTTCAAGAGGTAAGATGTCAGTCTCAGCTCCTACAGGAGAGGGACCGGAACTCACATCTGCCTCTAGATTTGATGGACGGTCATTTTTTAAAATTTATTATATTCTTAGTGCTTCACGTCCTGGGGTGATAAATATTTTATGGGCTCAGCTCAAAAAACACGCTCTGAATTCCCAGAGCTGTCAAAAAGACACCTCTGCTTAATACCCTGGCTCCCATAGCTCAGCCGCTCCCTCCAAGCCTCCCAGCTCTCAGTGGTACCGAGTCACCACCGCAGAAGATCTAGTCCTTGGGGGCAGTCCCTTCCTGCCTCCTGCCTGTCTCTGTGAGGCCAGGTGACCGCAGCGTCGCAGTCTGCAGAACCTGCCCCTCCCCTTGAGGCTGCGTCTCCCCTCACCACAGCCCGGGAGACGCTGCAGGGCCCGGGAAGCCCAAGTGCCCGCAGGTGGGCACAGACGCAGCACGGGCCTGCACCCTCTCACCTGGCCGCACAGGGTGGCAAAGGTGTCGTTCTCCATGCTCTCCAGCAAGTCTTCCAGGATGGCACTGTTCTGCTGTTCCTCCCTTACCCTAGAGGAAAGGCAAACCCACGCCAGCCCGCGAGCAACTCATTGTTTACGTGGCTCCAGTGTCACAGGTCTAACACACACAGACACACAGACACACACACACATACGGTGGCCTGAGACACCTGCTTTCCTCTCCTAGCCCCACATGGTGTGGCCAAGGGGGACTGCCGGGTGAGAAGCCCCGTGGAACCCAAGGAACCTGCTCTTATTATCACCCTGTGGAAGTTCTGCCTTCATCCTCAAGGCCAGGACCAAGACCAACACCTGGGGCCACTTGTCCCCGGTGCAGAGCAGACCCAGAGCACTGTCCACGGAGGACCCTGTTCTGAGCGCCAGACCAACACCAACAGGGCCATTCCACAGGAGCCTCCCTGACACCTGGACAGGAAACGGGGCTGGGCTTCGCTCCTCGCTGGCCAATCAAAGCCAGCATCATGGCCCCACCCCCACATTTCATTGGTTCTTTTATAACCCAGTGCTTCTGTGGGAACAACCCCACCCCAAACTCCAGCAGAGCACCAGTGAGTATAACACACTCCCCAACTCCCACCGGAATCAAATTAGCACCTTGAAGTATTTCCCCGGGGCCAATGCGTTCAATGGAACTGAATTAGACTTTGATGTTGTATTCAGGCAGAAAAGCAAAATCAAACAGATAAAAATCGCCCATAATCTCATCAGCCAGAAATCACACCCATTAAAACTGGGTCTGTTTCCTTCCAATTAATTTGTGAGTGTTTTCAAAAAACGAATCACACTGTGCGCAGTAGACGGTTTCCCGCCCTCGCTTCCACGTCGGTGTCATATCCACAGCGGGAACTAGAGAGCTGGAAGAAATTACGTCTTCCCGGAGTTCTTCATGCCACCACAGCCAAGAGGCTAATTGCGTAACGTTAATTGTGCGGGAAGGTAAAGAACAAAGAAGGAAGACTGGGGTGTGTCTGGCCCACAATTCTCTAAAAGCAGGATCTTTAATGCTGCACAGTGACTCTGCTCTTCGTTCTGCATGCTAGACTCAACAGTGTTGTGTCAGCCCTGTTTCCCCTGACATATGGTTATATAACATGTGAGCAGGCAGGGAGGCTGGGGGAAGGTGCGTGGGACTTCTCTGTGCTATGTTGTGTGTGTGTGTGTGTGTGTGTTGGTATTGGGACCTGAACTCTGGGTTGAAGTGCTGTCCTTTAACTTTTTTGCTCAAGGCAAAAAAGCCCTAACTCCACTTTAGCTTTCTGGTGGTTCATAAGAGTCTCATGAACTTTCCTGCCTGGGCCGGCTTTGAACCATGATCCCTAGATCTCAGCCTCCTGAGTAGCCAACTTTGATGTTATAATGCAGTGTTGAAAGTACACAACGTTGTCAGGGGGAAATGGCCCAGCCCTGGGCTCGACCTGGCAGAGGAGGAAGGGCAGCTGCTGCCCAGGGCATGGGCCGCCCGGCCTACCTCTGCTGGTGGCGCTCCAGCAGCTTCTGGCCCTTGCTCAGGGCCTGCTGCAGGGTGTCAGCGATCTGCTTTTCAGGCTCCACCTCCCCAGGCTCGCTCAGAAGTCCGGGTCCGTCAGTCCCCCACTGCTGCTGCTGGGCCTCCTCCTGCCTCGCCAGCTGCTCCTCCAGCTTCCTCTCTAGCTCCTGCAGCTCCTGCACGTGTAGGGGTGTGGAGGGGGTGGGGAGAGGTGAGTCCCATTGCTGAGGTCACTGGACTAAAGGACAAAACCTGGCCTTCGCTGGGCGCTTGTAACCCGAGCTACTCAGAAAGCTGAGATCTGAGGATCTCAGTTTAAAGCCTGCCCAGGCAGGAAAGTCTGAGACTCTTATCTCTCTTATTGCCAATTAACTACCCCAAAACAGAGAAGCAGAGCTGTGGCTCAAGTGGTAGAGCACCAACCTTGAGCAAAAAAGGGACACACACACACACACACACAGACACACACGAAAAGCAAACCAAAAAACCCACACCTGACCTTCATCGTGGTATAGCAGGGAACCTTGCCGGCCGCAGGACTAGCCTTCCATGGCTCTGTCCGGCTGTTCCAGCCGTGCCTGAGAGCTGTGATGGTGCCTCACGCATGCCCACAGGCACGACCCTTGACCAGCTCTGAGTCTCCTCAGGGTCCTGGCGCATGCCCACAGGCATGTCCCTTGACCAGCTCTGAGTCTCCTCGGGGTCCTGGCTTAGGAAGCTGCTCAGTGCTCGCCACACCCTCTGGGCGCCCCTCCTCATGCCAGAGTTAACTCCCACTTTTGAGGTTGCTGTCATCATATAGGATGTGACCGGGGGACATGGGGCCTGGGCCTGTGGCCCACCTCTCGTCATGGTACCCAGAGCTCCCAGCCCTCGCTCAGCACCTGACAGAGGCCTGCCCAGGTATGGTCTGGGCCTGCTGATGCAGTAAGCTCCCAAGGCCAGGGCCAAGTCTCCTGTCAGTGCCATAACTGATGGCTGCCACCTGGCACTGGTGTTCTGTCGGGCATCTGCCTGAATCCGCTGTGCATGGTGCATGCTGGGCTGTAGCAGCTGTGGCCAGGCCCACAGAACCCACGCCACAAGCTCACAGAATTCCTGTACACGGTGTGCCAGCTCATGAGATTCCTGTGCACAGACAGCATCCACAGTGTGCCAGCTCACAGGCTTCCTGTACACAGACGGCGCCCACAATGTGCCAGCTCGTGAGCTTCCTGTACAGACGGCGCCCACAGTATGCCAGCTCATGAGCTTCCTGTACATAGATGGTGCCCACAGTGTGCCAGCTCACAGGCTTCCTGTACACAGACAGCACCCACAGTGTGCCAGCTCGTGAGCTTCCTGTACAGACAGCGCCCACAGTGTGCCAGCTCACAGGCTTCCTGTACACAGACAGCACCCACAGTGTGCCAGCTCACAGGCTTCCTGTACACAGACAGCTGGTGCCCACAGTGTGCCAGCTCACAGGCTTCCTGTACACAGACAGCACCCACAGTGTGCCAGCTCACAGGCTTCCTGTACACAGACAGCACCCACAGTGTGCCAGCTCACAGGCTTCCTGTACACAGACAGCGCCCACAGTGTGCCAGCTCACAGGCTTCCTGTACACAGATGGAGAAATGCCAGCCCAGTGCTAGCAATTTCAATTGAAACGCCAATGAAATGCTGTGGGTTCGGTCAGCCTGGGTGGCACCACGGGTTTAAAGCCGCTCCTGTTGAAATGTGCCCATCACCACTCGCTCCCTCACACAATCCCCTGCCACGCGCCAGTCTCCCAAAATGAGTCTCAGTCATTCAAAGAGGGAGGTGCACACGGTATCACTTTCTAAGGCATCATTTCTCCCAAAGTAGTTCATTTCACGCTGTATAAAACTCTCCTGAGTGTCTCACAGCTTACAAGTTCATTTCCAGCAGGAAAGCGGTACGCACAGAACGATCCAGTTACAGAATGAACGTCTACTACGCACAGCGAAGCCGGCTGTCGCCCTCCAGAGGCAAACCACACACCCCTGCCCGGCACTGGCTGAGTAATGGCACCATCCGATTCACCCCCACTGCTGCCAGTCCAGGACCCAGGGACCCTCCTCTTCCCAACCAAGCACAGATGGCAGGCTTCAGTGTCACTCAAAAGAGCCTTGCGATCCAACAGGAAAGGGAGGATTGCATCCCGTTAGGAATCCAAGTCATGGTGGCGTCAGGACACCGGGTGATGGAGGCTGGACTGAGGGTGTGCCTCACCCTCCTGGGCTCCTGAGTCTCACTCTGCCTCTGACTCGCTTCATGACCTTGGACCTGACCTTCACTCTCAAGGCCTGTGTCCCCCAGAGGGAACTCAGGACAGCAGTCCACCTCCATGCTGACCCCGCAGCCGTGGATTCGGGGAGACTCCGGAGTTGCATACTGGATGGCATTATGCTCAACACTTCTTTCTGTAAAGCCCTGGGGCTCCCTCCCCTCTCACAGGTTCATCGTTTGACGCTGAATGTTAAGGCAACCTTATTGTCTTATAGGCTTCAAGATATTTCTATACTATCTTGGCCATCTTGAGTAATTTCACACTCATTAGCCTACATTCTCCTGGTAACTTACGTATGAAAGCCTGTGAAGACCTAATCTGTTATTTTTGTTTCTCCTGGGCCAGTAACTTCCCCCGTTCCCCACTGAGAACTCTTATTTGGCTGAATTCGATCTGTAGAAATCTTGATTTCCCCACTGAGAATACTTATTTTTTCTGGAGAGGATTTGTCCTTTTTTTGGACCAGGACAGTCAATCAACCAACTTGGAACTGTTTTAACTGAACTGATCACCTTTAGCTGAAATGATCATTGAATGGCTGACTCCCATCTAGATTCTTTCTGGGGGGTACCAGAAGCGATGGAACCAAATTCACAGGGAGACTTCGTTCCACACTGGGAGCAGGCTGGAGGCAGGCAGGTTCTGCCAGCAGGTGCTGTTCTTGCCTAGGAAAGCAGGTCTACACATTCATCTCCAGGCCCAGGGCCTGCTGCTCCCGGACGGAGCCAGGACTCCAGAGCTTCCTTGCTCTGTGAGTTCAGCCCACCCCAGGGCAGCTTTGCCTCCTGAGGAGCTTCAAGATTCAGAAAACCTGAAAGAGCCTGCGTATTTTCATCTGTCCATTCCTGGAGGCTTTGCGCGAGAATGCCTACCATTCTTATGCAAATTTGTATTGTCTTGTTTTGTTGCAGGTCCTAGACCCTGAACTCAGGGTCTGGGCACTGTCCCTAAGCTTTTGTGCACAGGGCCGGTGCCTTACCACTTGAGCCACAGCTCCACTCCTGGCTCTTTTTGGTAAGTAATTGGAGGTAAGAGTCTCCTGGGCTTTCCTGCCCGGACTGCCTTCAAGCCACAATCCTTAGATGTCAGCCTCCTGAGTAGCTGGGCTTACAGGTTTGAGTTGTGAGCCTGGCCCGACTTGCAGTTTGCAAATAGTTGTCACAGTGCAAGATGTAGAACGTTGGTCAAAACCAGCCTCAGATTCTCCAGAGTCTGCTGCCGTTTTTTTAAAGAAAGAACAGGTATCACCCTGATTTTCTGGGTTTAGGGTTTGTATGTGCATGCATGTATGTGTGTGCACATGCACATGTGCGCATGCACCAGTCCTGGGGCTTGAACTCAGGTCTGGGCACTGTCACTAAGATTTTGGCTCAAGGTTAGAGATCTACCACTTGAGCCACAGCTCCACTTCCAGCTTTTTTTTTTGGGGGGGGGGGAGGGGTAGTTGTGGAGGTGGGAGGGAAGATATGGCTGGGTGCAAACAAAGGAGGAGGCAACAATGCCCAATAGGAAATGTACTCATTACCTTGCTCATGTAACTGTCACCCCGCTGTACAGCATTTTTACAATAAAAAAAAAACTCACAAAAAAAAGAGCCTTACAAACTTTCCTGCCCAGGCTGGCTTCAAAATGCAATCCTCAGATCTCAGCTTCCTGAGTAGGTGGGATTACAGGCGTGAGCCACCAGCGCCAAGCTGATTTCTGGTTTTGTCATTTATTTTATTTTTTTGTTAGTCGTGGGGCTTGAACTCTGGGTCTGGGTACTATCCCTCAGTTACTCAGCTCAAGGCAAGCGCCCTACTACTTGAGCCACAGCACCACTTCTGATTTTCTGAGTGGTTTATTGGAGATAAGAGTCCAATGGCCTTTCCTGTCTAGGCAGGCTTTGAACCACGATCCTCAAATCTCAGCCTTCTGAATAGTTAGGATTACAGGTGTGAGCCACCACGCCCGGCTTGGTTTTTGTCATTTATGAGCCATAAAATCTTCACAAAAATGTCTCCCGTCACTCGTTCAAATCTCAATTCCTTCTCCTGGGAGCTGAATGTAACAGAAACACCTATTTTACAGCACTGCTCGATAATTAACGAGGTGTGACAAAGTGCTTAATTGGAAAGCCACACAAAGTTACAGCTTGTTATTAATCGTGCTTACCTAATAACCTTACAAAGCATGGCTCAGACTGTCTCAGCAGGGCCAGCTCCTAGAAGAGGGCCTGGCCACTCACAGCTTAGGGCCCTCTGCCCACACCAGGGACACCCCTTTTCCCTGCTGCAACCAACTACTGTAATAACAGAGAAAATACGTGGCATTGTAAGACCTACACCTAAGGGACCTAAAATAAATCTCAAATAGTTATTACTATAGCTAGACTGTTCTCCTCGAAAGAACACAACACTTAGAAGCAATGGCAATATTTAGAATTATAAAATGAAATAATCCAACATGCTTGCATGTGGGATGTGCCTCACTGAAAGATAATCTGTGTGTGTGTGTGTGTGTGTGTGTGTGTACCTGTACTCAGGGCCTGGACACTGTCCCTTGGCTTTTTCTGATCAAGACTGGCACTCTACCATTTGAGCTACACCTGCACTTCTGGCTTTTTGATGGAGATGAGAGTCTCCTAGACTTTCCTATCTGGGCTGGCTTCAAACCACAATCCTCAGATCTCAGCCTCAGTAGCTAGGATTATAGGCATGAGCCACCATGCCCGGCACCCTGTTGATTTGTGTAACAGCAGGAAAGAGGACACTGCCAATTAAATTATGGCACCCACTGGAAGATGTGCCACAGGAGCCGCAAGCCAGACTGCACAGTGCCCTCTGTAGGTCCCCTCCCTTGGTCCCCCACCCTCCGGCCCTCACTCACCAGGCTGTGTGACTCCAGGATCTGGGTGCAGGCTGACTTGGTCAGCGTCTCCGACTCACTCAGCTCCTCCAGCAGCAAGTCCTGGATGCTGAGCAGGGCGGTATAGGCCCACAGGGTCTCGGTGGCCCGTGCTGCTTTCTGGAACTGCAGAGCAACCAGCGATTCCGCGAAGCGAGCTTCCTGGGCCTCCAGCCGCTGCACCCTCTCCCGCAGCAATTCTCCCCGCACCTGCAGGGGGTGGACCCAAACAGACAGCAGGGAGTGAAGCCCCGGAAGGAGGGCCAGAGCCTTCCACAACAGTCAGCTCAGGATGCTGCGCCCCAAGTGTGGCTCCGGTGAGCAGAGAGGCCCTGGGACTCCGCAGGGAGCTCCCAAATGGCGCCTCTCTGATGTCTGAGGACACCAGGCTTCTGCAGTGAGCTGCATTCATTCCCTGTCTCCTATCCCGCCCTGTTGCTGTCCTGCTCAAAGCCTTCCTGCCCCACCCCATTCCCTGGGAGATGAAAGGTCACATCCCCGACCACCCACCCTGGGACTCCACGTGACCACCCGCTGCACGCCCTGCATCATGTCTGCGCCCCCATCCTTGCCTCCTTGGGCCTCCAATTCCCAAGTTGCTGCTTGAAGCCTCCACAGCTCTGTACATTTGTCCCCATGTTCCCAAGCTCCCAGGCCACACCGGCCCCCCTTCCAGCCCTCACGAGACACAGGCTGACCTGCTGGCAGCATCTTGCAGAGATACTGCTAGCTCAGCCTTTTTTCCAATCTGGAAAACCAGGTGACAGCCCTCAGACCCCTGACAGGTTCCCATGGTAACTAAAAGTAAATGGAAGCCAGCCGTGGCATCAGCCGGCAGTCCGCCCCGCGTCCTCCACAGATTAGGGATAGTCCCGGAGGAAGGGAGTGCCAAGAGCCACATTGGAGCGCTTGGAAATGGAGACCCTAACGTGATACACGTCATACTGCCCCCCAACCAAGACCTCTCCCCATTGTCACTTTTTCACTGCCAATTTACAAAGAGAAATCGTACTTGTATGCTTACGAGCACTAACACATGTAAAGGAGCGCAGGATGCACTAAGGGGTAGAGAGGGAGGAAAACGGTAGAGGTTCCATGGACCAAACCCTCACAGTGTAACTGAGCAGAAGCAAGAACTCGAGCTCTACTGCCGCTAACGAGGGACCCCGGCAGTCACCAAGCCCCCGACCCGCCCTTCCTCATCTGCAAGTGGTCAATGGCAGCACCGCCAAACACACAGGGCTTGCATCCTGAAGGACAGCTCCCAGGCCTAGCGGAAGTACACAGCCTGCCCCGTGGCGGCCCACACCTGCTGGAAGCACACAATGTGCCAAGTCTGGACATTTCTACACATCTGAGCGCCAGGAGCCCCGAGTACCCCCGCGGCAGTCCTGACGCCTGCTGGGTGAGCCTCCTGGCTTGCACCCTGCGGGCACATCTGCACTCTCCAGGAGCTGTGTGGAAATAGAATTCCCTGGGATGCACTGGGAGGGTCTGGCTTCTTTTCAGTCAGTGTGGTTGTTTAATTTTAGGGTCACACTTGGTCATCTTCTGGACTGAGCATTTCCTTCGACTCTCCTTCGCTGGTAGACAGCTGTCATCTGTGCTGTCACTGCAGAGTTTATACTGAAGCCTGTCTCAGGCTTCCGTCACGGACATTACAGCACTGGGCCTGGCTTACTGCACACCTCCCTTCCTGGTCTTAAGTGTTATTCTTGTCATACATTTTAGTTTTTCCATATAAAACTTACCTGCTGTCACGATTACACTAGTCATTATTGTTTCTGCAGAGCAATCAATTTTTCAAAAAAAATCTGTATTGAGGTGAAATCCACGTGTCATAAAATTGCAGCTGTTTCACAGCCCACATTAAGTATTTAGACTTGAGAAGCCAAAACTGTCACCAGCCCAGGAAATGCACACCCCGTGGAAAACAACCACCTTCTCCCTGTTGCTACAGTTTGACTTACTCTGGATGAGTCACCGGAACTGACACACTGAATACAACCTCTGGGACCTGATTTTTCTTTTTGACTGAATGTTTTTTAGTTCAGTCTCTTTGGTGTACAATGTAACTGAAATCTTTTTATGGCTGTATAACATCCACTGCATGTTCAGTCTATCCGACGTTGAAGAGATTTTTTTACAAATAAAATAGTGATGTATTCACTTACGCAGTGGCCATTTACAGTCTTCTCTATTGATGTAGTTCTGAATTGACATCTGATAAGGGATCTTCTACACAGAAGGTTTTGATTTTTTTTTCAGTTTGAGTGGAATTCTTACAGCATTGTCTGACAGAACATATCCTACCTTCATTCTTGAAAGGGACATTTGGGGTGCAGAATTTTAGGAGACAGAACACTCCCAGAGTGAAGACATTTCTCCGCTGTCCTCTCACCGGCATTGTTGTAAACGAGAATGGTGCTGTCCGCCTGAGCTGTGTCCCCAATGTACGTCATGTAGTGTCTTTTCTCTGGTTGAAGACTAAGTTTTTATTTTCACTTCTGTTGTGACCGTAGTGGGGCATGAACTCAAGGTCTGTGCACTGCCACGTAGCTTTTGTGCTCAAGGCTGACACTCTACCACTTGAACCACAGTTCCACTTCCAGCTTTTTGAGGTTAACAGGAGAGAAGAGTCTCACTGACTTTCCTGCCCAGGCTGGCTTTGAACCTTGATCTCAGATCTCAGCCTCCTGAGTGGCTAGGAGGACAGGCAGGAACCTCCAGTGAGGCCATTTTCTGGGATGTAGTGAAGCTACCTGGACACAAGTCCATCATTTCCGGTCATGTTTTTTTGAGATCCACTAGTTGGAGCTAGAACAGAGTGCAGGGAGCTCCCTCTTTTGACGCTGAGATAGGAGTTGGGGGGGGGGGTCTCACACTCGGCAGCATTTCCCAGCATTTCCCAGGGCTGCTGGAAGAGCCGTCACTAGCACCATCGTCATCCTCGGCCCTGGGCCGGCTCAGGCACTCACTCCTCTCTCGGTCTCTGGCTGGCCCTGCCTGGCCCCGGGTGACGGCGTACACGCCTCTCATCCACTTTCCAACTCTCATGAGATCGTGGGAGGGAATCCAGCCCATCTGGCCTGGGTTCTCTCTCTGTGGAGCATCTTTCATTGCTGTTGTAGTAAGTCATGGGGCTTGAACTCGGCTCCTGGGCACTGTCCCTGAGCTCTGTCTGCCCAAGGCTAGTGCTCTACCACTTTAAGCCACAGCAACACTGACGGTTTTCTGGTAGTTAATTGTAGATAAGAGTCTCATGGACTTTCTTACCCAGGCTAGCTTCAAACTGTGATCCTCAAGTCTCAGCCTCCTGTGTAGCCAGGACTATAGATGTGAGCCACCGGGACCTGACCAGCCTTCTTTACTGGCTCTTTGTCGCATGAAGCACCGCTGGCTTAGTTGTCCCGGTCTCTTTGCTCTGTGTTCTCCACTCGCACAGTCTGTAGCCTCCTGAGCATCCTGAGCAGCGCTGCAGATCCGTTCATGTAAATGCAAGCCTCCCACTGGGAGGAACCACAAAGCCCTTCGTGTGCGCAGTGAGAACGCGGATGGGAGGATTTTTAGGATCCTCCCAAACATTTACTTCCTTCGGATACTCAATTGGTCAATTCTAACACTGTGAGATGATGTTTCTAGAGAGGGTTTGAATCCTCTAGCTCCTGGGAAATGGCAGGTTTACATTTCTGTGAGGTATTAATGACAAACTTCATTAAAAATTCAAACATCTAAAACAATAAGCGTTCATTTGCTGGAACACCATGCTGCTAAATGCTCTTAACTGGGAAATCCAGACGCCCTGGTTTCTGGTTTTCTCTGAAGCATTTGTTATCCCGATTTCCTCTAGGCACAGAGATGCCCTCTAAGTTCCCAACAGGCACAGCCCTGCCAACCAGTGCTCCCGGGACCCCGAGGGGTCCAGAAAATCGCGCCCCTCCTTCTTGCCCAAGTTTGGAAACAAGTATAGCTTAATGCAAGGGACGGAGGGACAGACCTCAAACATCAGCCAATTCCAATCCTGGATTGGAAAATGGGATTCAGACCCACTTCTAAACAAACCAAGTGACACCACACGGCAGCCTCCCTCCAAGGCCCCCAAGGAACAGAGGAGGCTCCCCCGTCAGCG